CACATCATGTGATTGACATTTTTAAGAGTAGCTTTCCTCCCGGATGATCAGTGTGGAAGCAGCTTTCCAGACCTGGGATGAGGAGCCAGTGTTTGAAGAACCAAGACAATTAAAACTGGGACAGACTTCCTATCTGGGGCAGCCTCAGTAGGGAGCAGTGAGGGGGCTCTGGAATCCTCCTGGCCGCTGGCCCCCGACCCCCCGCTGCAGTCACTCAGCAGGTGTGGTGCCCAGGGGGGCCTTGGCACCTGGCTTGGCCTCACAGGTGTGGGTGGGAGCTTGCCTGGGGTGAGTGAGTCCAGCTGGGCAGGAGCAGGCGTGGTGGCTGCTCACAGGGAGGGTGTGGCCAGCATGGTGGTTACCTGGCAGGATTGGCAATCCGAGCATCTTGTTGGGGTGCAGGGCAGTAAACGGCCCTGCTCTGCAAGGTGCAGGTGGGTGGGAGTCTGTTAAACCATATGCTGTGTGAGCCTGGCTTTGGGGTCCGGGACCCCTTTCTCCAGAGCAGCGCTGCTTCCTGCTCAGAGCCAGGGGGTGGCAATGCCAGCGTTGCCCACCATCACCAGGCGGTGGGCGCTTCAGAAAGTGCTGGGTTCCACCCGTGCAGCTCACAAGGCTGCACTCATCACTGTCCACACAAGAGGTTTAGAGAAAGTGTGTAAAAACATGCAGAGAAGCTGGGCCTGGAGTAGGTATCCTTCCATCCTCAGAGCTCTTCCTGCACCCCACAACCCCGCACACTGGGTCTAATTCAGGAAGGACAGAGGTAGACACGGCCCAGGTCTGAGGGTGGGTCTGTGGGGCCCTGGGATTACAATGGGTCGGCTCTCTGGTGCTGGGTCAGGGCCACTCCTACTGCTGGGGAAAGCTAGTCCTTTGAGGACAACACAGGCTGCTCCCTACTGTGGCCCCTGCACCCAAACCTGGGCCCCGTCACCTCTTTCTTGTGCAGTGGGAAGTGGAGGTTTGGGGACCAAGCGCTGTCCCCCTGAGGCAGTCTCCTGGGGCCCAGCAGGACACCTCCCTGTGGTCCTGTCTCCTCGATCCAGTGGGAGGGTGAGCTAATGGAACGTGGAATCAGAAGGGATCTCAGGGGTCACTTGGTCCAGGGCTCACTCTGTGTGGGAACCGCCGTCCTGGGGTGCCACACAGCTCCTGCTGGAACCCTTCTAGAAGTCGGGGACCTTACATCCCAGCGGCCCACCTTCTAGTGAAGGGTCAAAGGCATTAGAACCGACCTCCGCTCTGTAAGTGTTTATTACGGTTTCCCTCTGGGCCAGTAAAACCTGCAGTGGTGCCGCTTCCACTGTATCCTCAGGGGAAACCAGTCCCATCAGTGGGCAGTGGGCACTCCGTCTCGGCAGCTCTAACTGCCACGTGCCAGACACCACGGCAAGCTCTGGGCATGGCTTATCTCACGTAAGCTGTGCCACCGCCTTCATGGGCTGGCATGCCTGTCCCCTTCACACGGAGGAGGCTGAGGCTCGGGAGCTAACATGCCCATGGCAGTCCGCTTGTCAGTGGGGGGGTGGGGGGTGGGGGAGGTAGGGGGCACCTAAGCCTAGGCAGGCTCTCTGCTTCCCCTGAGATACCTGCTCTCAGTTGCCCTGTCTGTAAAATGGGGTGAATGCCACCACCTGTTGGATTTATTATAAGCTCCCATCAGGATCATGCATAGAAAGCACCTAATTGGTAGTTGCTGACTTGATGACTGGTGGCCAGTCATGATTACAGTGGGCTCTGCGCCTTACCTCTGCTCCCCGCTGTGTGTCCCAGCCCCCTTCTCCAGAGCATGGGGTTACAGTCCCTGGTCCCTGTAAGGGATGCTTGGGCCAGAGGGAGGTCAGAGTGCAGAGGCCCTCTCCTCTGGGCCAGGAGCACAGCCTGGCCCGCTGGCACCAGGCTTTGTGGGGCTCCTGCCTCCTCCCTCCCTCTCCCTGCCACTCCCCCAGACCTGCCTCCCACCCTATAATTAAGCTCACAGCATCCAGTGTAAGCAAATAATAAGGGCATTATCTCCCTTTGATCTGTGCTTTTCTTTGCCTATCATAAAGTAATTAGGTAATGAATGCCTGTGAAACAATAGGTGAGAGGGCTGGCCAGAGAGCATTATCTTCCATAGAGGCTTGTGCTGTGAATGATTAATGCTAATGCGTTGAAACCACTGTGACTGGAGAGGGCTTGCGGCCCCCCAGCCCTTTTCATGCGGACTCCCTCCTCCAGGGTCGGCCTGGTGGCTGGAAGCCTAACCCCACGGGTTGAGGAGCAGAGACCTAGCCCTTCAGTCACCCCCCTGGACAAGGTCAGAAATGTCCCTGGGAGGCTCTGCTGAAGAGGAAACACAAAAACCTCTGATCGGAGGTCCTTCTCCCAGCCCAGCTCCTCCCTGTCCACCCAGACACTCTGGTTCTGGAAGAAACCGGCGGTTCTGTGCTGGGTGCGGGGAGGCGCTGGGAAAGGGCTGGGTGTTCAGATGCAGGTCCCAGTTCAGATAGAGCGGGGATGACCAAGCCATGCCAGGATGAGAGGAGCGGGGGTTCTCAGAGTGGGGCGCCCAGACCACAGACAGCATCAGGATCACCTGGGAACTTGTCAGAAATACAGGTGCGGGGCTGGGGCCCAGCATTGGGGTAGCAAGTCCTCCAAGTGGTTCTGAGCCCCTCAAGTTTGAGAGCCATTGCCGGAGTGCCTGTGGCTGGAGGAGAAGCAGGAGGCTGTGGGAGTAAGTAATTGAACGTGTATTAAGTGCCTGTGGGTGCTGTTTCATCTCCATCACGCCGGTGGGCAGGCAATATTGCCCCATCTTGCAGGGCAGGTCGCACAGGGGTGGGGGAGCCGAATCTGCACCCTCAGTTACTAAGGCTGCCCCTGAATCTAGGGCTTCCTCCTTCAGGACACCCATCTGTGCAGAGTCTGCATATGGCTGACACTTGGGGTCCTACCAGGCCACTGAGACTGGCCCTAGGTGGCTCGGGCGTTGGGCTCCACAGATGTCAGCAGGTGGCCCCCAAATATACCACATCCACTCTGGCCCCCTCTTGGACTGCTGTAGCTCCGTGGGGCCCAGCTCACTTGGAAATAAAATGTGGGCACCCCTGTTGCTGGTGCTGCTTCTCTCTTCCCAGCTCCCCAGCCGGGGTGGGGAGAGCAGGCCTTGGAGCAGCTTCCCGCCTGCCTGCCTGCGGGTCCCCAGGAGGATGACTCATCAGTGTCTCCCAGCTCTCCTCTCCTCACTCGGCCCCACCCTTGCTCACTGCAGACAAAGACTTCTACCTCTGCCTTTGGTTTCCCCTCACTCCCATTCACAGTGGTTTCCAGGGGCAGTTTGCATTCTAGTCCTTTAAATGATGAACATAATTTTGTTGTCATCTTTCGACATATCTGTATCTACAAAAATAATTTCAGTGGGTATTGGAGTAAGGGGCTCAGCTCAGTTACATTTTAAATAAGTAATGGATACATTTTAGTATAAGTATGTCCATGTAATATTTGGGGGCATCCTTATGCTGAAAATTTATTTGTTGTTTATCTGAAGTTCAAATTTCTTTGGGTGTCTTGTATTTTGTTTGTCAACCCTAACCCAGGTTCCATAGTCAGTGAGGGGCTGATACTCATAACTCCTTCCTTCCTTCCTTCCTTCCTTCCTTCCTTCCTTCCTTCCTTCCTTCCTCCCTCCCTCCCTCCCTCCCTCCCTTCCTTCCTTCCTTTCTTCCTTTTTTTTTTCCCGACTACTAGATAGCTTTGGAAATTAGCTTTTGCTGCAGATTTGAAAATGTTTCTTAATGAATTCAACTTACAATTACAAGACAGAACCATGCTTATATGTGGAACTTATACTATAATAAGTCATTTAGTCAACTAATGTTATTTCCTGAATCATTAGTAATGCCAAGCCCTTCTCCTTCCTTCCTTCCTTCCTTCCTTCCTTCCTTCCTTCCTTCCTTCCTTCCTTCCTTCCTTTCCAACTATTTGCCAGGCACTCATTTAGGCACTCATCATACAGCAGCTGGGGGAGGCAGACAGTGAATGAAGTAGGTAAGTGGATTATAGAGTGTATTAGAGGTTTGAATGCTGTGGAGAAAAATAAAGCAGAACAGCTGTGCTGTAGGAAGCCAGGCTTGTAATTTTTACAGGGTAGCCAGAGAAGACCTCATTGTAAAGGTGGTATTTAAGCAAAGACTTGAGGGAGCAAGTTGTGACCCTTTGTGGGAGAAGAGTATTTGTGGGGAGAGAGGACACATTGCATGCAAAAGAGTTCAATTTAGGGCCCAGGGTGGGGCTCAGTTATCTGAGGATGTCAGCCTTATGTCCTCAAGCACATTGAGGACATGAAGGGGAATTGATTAATCTCCTGTAAGTGAAAGGTCTGGGGTGGATTTCAGGCACAGCTGGATCCAGGTGTTCAAATGATGACATCAGTATTTTATCACTTTTCTGTGCTGCCTTCATTCTCAGGGAAGGATCACCTTTCCTACTTTTCCCAGCAAAAGTCCTGGGCTTGAGTTGTATTGGGTTGGCGTGGATCCTGTGACCATCCGTGGCCCAGTCACTGTTGCTGGGGGGATGGAATGATATGATTGACCAGTCCCAGTTCCTGGAGCCAGTATGGGTTTCTCAGCCCCTTTTGAACCGCACAGATGGAGATGAGGACATGGGGATTTCCTTAAGGAAAAGATTGGGCACTAACTTGAGAAGGGCACGGAGGTTGGGCAGGTGGAGAGAGACCCCAGTCAAGATGCCTGCCCCATCTCGTGAGCGATGTGGCTTTTTTTTTAAAAAAAAAACAAAAAACAGAAAGAGAATAATGTCATTGTTTCACAAATATACTTTAAGAATAAATAAAAGATTAAAAAAAATTAAAAAACTGATTAAAACCACAACCCATCCTTCCTCCCTACCCCTGAACCTCTAAGCCAGTTCCTACCTGAACACAGGACCCTTTGATCTTTTGAGGTCTCCGTTTTTTAAAATGTCTCAACCCTTGTTCTTTCTGTTGCCAGGAGGCCCAGAAGATTAACAATGGCTCCAGCCAGGCTGATGGCACTCTCAAGCCAGTGGACGAGAAAGAGGAGGTGGTGGCAGCTGAGGTCGGCTGGATGACCTCCGTGAAGGACTGGGCGGGGGTGATGATCTCCGCCCAGACACTGACGGGCCGAGTTCTGGTGAGTCCTCAACTCCCTCCTCACCGAGGAGGCCTGCTGCCTGGTCCATGATCCTTTGTTCTGCTTTCTCTCTGATCGGCATGTATGGAGCTTGGCTTCACCCATTGGCCTCATGACCTCTGGTTCTTGGCAAGGATCATAGTAGTGACCTTTAGTGACCAACCAGCCCAGTTTGCCTGGGAATGGGGGTACCTTGGACATGGGTCTTTCGGTGCAAAGGCAGGAAAAGTCCTAGACAAACAAACACAAATTGGTCCCTGGCCAGGCCATGCTCCAGACATACGTGGGCCCTTCCCCGGGGAAGCCCTGCCCATGGGCTTTCTTGGGTCTGCTCTGGGTCAGGAGTTTCCCTGAGAAGGATTTGCATTTCAAATAATTTCTTCTTGTAATTCTGGGAGCTGTTTTATATGGGCTGCCCTTCCTGGCCCTGAGACTGGGGCTTGGTCACAAGTCATTTGACTCCTAGACAGAGTGAGTGGGGATGTCCTGATGGCCGCGTGGATCGAAGATCAGGCAGGGATGCTGGAAAGTGGACGTTATCTCCCTTGACATTTCATGGCAAAAACTCAGCGAGGAGGTGACTGTAGATGGAGGGAGCTGGTGAACATTTCACCCATCGAATCTACCTCATGTTTGGGAAAAATACTTGCAGACAGCTTGAGGGAAGGAGTAAGCACCAAATGCCATGCCTGAGTGATAAAGGTGGTAGCCAAGCAGCCTTCGGGGGCACGGGGCTCTGCTATCTGGGGAACCCCACATGAGCTGAGCCTTCTAAGGCTCTGGGTATGAAACCGTGGCTGATGTCAGTTGGTAGCAAGACAAAAAGGAGAGAGATTTAAAGCTGGGATGTTGGAGGAAAGAGGAGAGGGAAACGAGCCAGGCAGTTGCTGCATGCAGGAAGATAGAGAGGGCATGGTCCAGGAAAAACTGGCCGCACTGGGTGTCTAATGAGGTCCTGAAGGTGGCATGGCTGTGGGCTGTGCTGTGTAAACCACCACCCTTGTCTCCCTCCTACCCCTCCTCAAGTTTCCAGTTGTCTCCATTGCTCTCTCATGCTGAGAGTGGATTCTACGGATGTGAGTGGATTCTACGGATGATGAATAAAACCGTTGAATTCTGGGCCTGGGCATGGATGCGGGGGTGAAACGGAGGCAGTGCCTTCTGTGTGTCTGGTGCTGTTGGTGGATGAGGAGCAGCAGCCAGTTCGGTCACACAGATGTGCAGCACCCACGGCTCTCAGGGGCCATTGCAGTCAGTTCTGAGGATCTTCATCAGCATCAACCAGGAGTTACGGAGCATCGACTCTGGGTGTTCTTTTCAGCCCCGTGGAGACCAAGGACCGATTCGGCTCCCGTTGCCCCGAGGATGGAAGTTACTGAAGGGATGTCTGGAGGAGAAATGCCAGGAGTGTGTGTTGGGGTCGGGAGCCCGGTATAGAGAATTGGGAGGATCAAGAAGGCCGTCTTAGGAGGGAAACCTTTGAGCTGAAACTTCTACTTCAAGATGCACCGAGCACACACTTATGATAGAAAAAATAAAAATGTACCTGAGCTTGAAACCAAGAAGGGGCCACTTCGTGAGCCGGAAGCTGAGAATCCCGAATAAAACAGAGAGCATTTGAGCTGAGCTTTCAAATGTGAGTTAGAATCTCGAACATCAGAGCAGAGCGGAGGAGCCCAGGAGAAGGGAAGGGGGCCGGGTGGGCGGGGGACACAAAGGCCCCCAAAGGGAAGTGAGCCTGGGAGGTGGGCTGGAGATGGCTTGTCCACGCTTCAAATGCCAAGCGGAAGAATTTGGACGGACTTTTGTAGGAAAGGAGATTTTGAGGGAAGGGTATCATGGTTGGTGCTTGTGCAGAGAGAGAGCTAGTGGACAAATGGAGACTGAGTTGGGGAGGCAGGAGCTCAGAGGTAGGGGGGTCAGTTGGGATAGTGAGCTCCCAGCACTGTGACTGGACTCAGCAGACGGACCTGGAGAGTCAAGGCCTGAACTGACACAAACCTGTGCAGGCAGGAAGGTGGTGTGGGTGACATTGTAGAAGGGGAATCACAAGCCAGGTGCACCCAGCATCCACCTGGATACTACTGCTGACAGTCACCGGAGCGATTTGTGAGCTGGGCATATGCTAGCCAGCCGTGGGCAAACTATGGCCCGTTTGAAATGAATAAAACTAAAAAAAAAAAAAAAGACCGTGCCCTTTTATGTAATGATGTTTACTTTGAATTTGTATTAGTTCACACAAACACTCCATCCATGCTTTTGTTCCGGCCCTCCGGTCCAGTTTAAGAACCCATTGTGGCCCTCGAGTCAAAAAGTTTGCCCACCCCTGTTAGACCCTGTACGTTATGATCAGATTGAAGGGTAGGGACCTTGTCCTATTTTTTTGTGTCTTCCGTTTTGTGGTGTTGTACGGGTTCATTACAAAGAAGCAAGCCAGCCAGGCTTAACAGTGAATTGATTTCCATTTTATAGCTGAGAAAAGCAAGGCACAGGAAAGGCAACGACCTGCCAAGTGTACGCAGCCTCCCGGCCAGGCGTGCCGGCCTCGGACTCCTGTGCGGTGCCCTTTCTGTGTCGTTACTTCCGAGTTGAAGATAATGCCTCTTCTTCTCTAAGCCACCGCCAGCTGTCGCTTTGGCTGTGACATTTTGACTTTCCTGTCTCTGAGCCAATTAGGTCCTAAGCTACTTGGCTGGATTCTGTTCACATTTGCATGGCCATGCACAGTCTGCCCGGGCCTCCTTGTCCAGGACGCCAGCTGCTCACCGAAGGCCTCCTTGTAGAAAATCCTGACCGGGCTGCTCTGGCGCCCTGAGAGCGAGCAGGTCCCCCGCACAGAGAGCGGCACCTCAGTCCGGAGGAGGCCTGCCCTCTGGGGGAAGCATGTCCTTGCTCTGAGCAAGGAGATTCACACGGAAGTCTCAGTGCACAGAGAAAGCAACTCTGCCCATTCAGAACCCAAGCTGTGTTTGTCCTGAGCTGTCTGCTTGTTATCCTTCCAACAACAGGACTAAAGCAAGACCAGACACCAGCTGTTCAGCTTCCCTTTTCAATTTGAAAAAAAGATACGTTTTGCCGAAATCAGTGTTAGTGACAGTGTGGTTCAGGGTGGGTAAGTTTTTCTGTAAAAGGGCCATATAGTGAGTACTTTAGGCTTTGCACACTGTAGGGCTTCTGACACAACTACTCAACTCTGTGCGTTTTGAAAGCAGCCGCCAATAATACTTGGGCAGGACTGTGATCCAGTTCAGGCTTATTTACAAAATCAGGTGGCGGGCCAGAGTTATTTCATGGACCATAGATTGCTGACTTTTGGTCTAGTTCATCTCCTTATTTTAGAAATAAAGAAATTGAGCCTGACCAGCCTGGCTCAGTGGTTGAGCATTGACTTATGAACCAGGAGGTCCTGATTCAATTCTCGATCAGGCCACATGCCTGGATTATAGGCTCAATCCTCAGTGGGAGGCACGCAGGAGGCCGCCAATCAATGATTCTCTCTCTTCATTGATGTTTCTATCTCTCTCTCCCTCTCCCTTCCTCTCTGAAACCAATAAAAATGTAATTTAAAAATAAAGTAACATTGTATTATTTTTTTTAAAAAAGATATTGAAAGTGAGAAATTGAAAGAAATTCCTTAGGAAGGAATTTTCTATGATAAGATAGCACAAGAGTGATAGTACCAGAGAGACCATTTATGATGGGGAATGCTGTAGGCACACAGATACACACACTCACAGCATCTACGTTAGTACATTGCTTCTGAATATTCATATTAATTTCCACGCTGATCTCAGAGTGACTGTCTCCCTAGGGCCTAGGGAAACTGGCGTGTGGCCAAGCATGACTTCACCTCGAAGTGTAAGCAGTGTCTACGCTGCCTGGGCCGCCCCTCGGCCCCGCTCCTTCCTGATTCGGTGTTCTGTCTTTCTCTTCCAAGACTGGTCTTGCTAATACCTGAGCAAAGATAGAGACTTTAGCTTTGTTCTTTGGTTATTGTCCTCACATTCCCTTAGAACTATACTGCATTTGAATACTTCTCCAGGATGCGTCCACATGTAATCCGAGAACTGAAAACATATGCTACTTCCTTTACCTTGTGCAGGATGACTAGCTGAAGTAAGGAGGAAGAAAAATGCCAGTCTTTCCCTTTATCTTCCTGAATATGGCACATGTGTGGCATTAACGTTTCACATTAATGTAAGTTACGTAGCCTGGCTATTCTATCTCATCTCCCAGGGCCCCAAAGAAAATATGTATCAAATACACCTTTCAAATAGAAATAATCCTGCTGGTTTCATAGAGTTACCAGAGGCGCTCACTGCCCATGAGATTGGAGCGTTGGGCAAAGTGGAGGTGCACAGGGGCAGACGCCTAATCGAATATGTGACATCCATCGCCATGTTTCTCCCTTTGGGTGGCTTATGGTGCTGGTGACGTTTCTCATCCGCACCCCCTGCTTTTCTGCTTCATGGTGCCTGGAGGCCAGTTCACACACAGCTCACGCTCCCATCTTCCCCTCTCTTCCTCTCATCTAGGGTTCACTGGTTTTTTTTTTTTACATTTCAGACAAATCTGCATGACTTTTTTATATCACCTCCAAAGCCCTATGTGGCAGAAAGACTAGGGGCCTCACAGGCATATGTTTCTACTATGAATGCCCCATAGTGATGCCCCATAATGAACAGGTAGATCCCGCTCTCTGCACAGTTGGGAGTAAATTGAGATTTTGCTTGAGTGTTGTTGTTGTTGTTTTAACTCCTCTAAGTAAAACTTCTTTTAAAGGAAACAGAGTGTTATTCTCTTTCAGTACTTAATAATGTCTTAATTTTACCCTGTGCATAAATAGAGTTTATATTTTGGGTATGAATCAAATAAGACAAAGAAGGGATGCTTTCTTTATAAAATTATGAAACATGAGATTTTGTCTCCATCTGATGAAAGAGGCACCACATTTGTTACTTGTGACCCAGCATCACTGGGTGAGAGAACACGAGTTGGAG